CGGCGGCACCGGCCGTCAGGCCCCTCCAATCAACTTGCGCGCCCTTGCAAGAGAGGCGGGGGACGGGGTGGATGGGAGAAAGGGCCAAGAGGACGAAGAGGATGCAGAGCAGGGGGCGGGAGGAGGAGGAGGAGGAGGAGGAGGAGGAGGAGGAGGAGGAGGAGGAGGAGGAGGAGTCCAGCATCTTGGACCTCCGGCACAAAGAAAGTGGCAAGCTACGGTACAAGATGATGCGGAAAAGCTTGGGTTCCGTTTGCATGCTTCCTGTGGTCGGCGTTGAGACGGAATCCCGAGCTCTAGCCTTGGAGTCGTGTGCAATCAAGATCGGCCGCCCCAAGTGCAACGCAGAGGAGCTGAAGCCGTCCACCAGTAAACACAGGTCTTCGCGCTCTTCCTCGAGGAGCCGACCTTCGTCGTGGCGCCGGGAGCGGAGACGAATACCACATTCTATTTGGGCTAGCCCTGTAATTTCGAAAGCTGTGCGTCGGGTCGAACAGGATGCAACTGTACTACATGGTGCTCGAGGGTTGGATTTACGCTTCAAGGATCTATACACTTTGCACCTACAGGAGTCTTTCGGCATGTCGGGGGAGTACGGCCCACTATGGATATTCGACGCTACCCGTCTAAATTTGTTTTTGAGTTACGCTGCGAATTGGAAGCCGTCGATCGTTCTACCTTGGGCATGGGGCCGGTACCCCTTGGCTGCGTTCCTATACCGTGCAGCTGAATTTCGTGACAACGTACGCCCGACCAGGGCAAGGAAGATTGCCATGAACAAGACTTTACGCCACCTGCTCGCCCAAGTTCGCTGCCCATTATCGGTTCCACCTTTTCGTCTACCAGGGTCATGCGCCGGCGCAGGGGTACAGAAGGAAGTTCGCCGTACTGTCTTCCAGGCAATCTCCAGGATCCGGTTTTCCCCGTTGAGGCTGTGGCTGGCGAGGTATGTCCAGTTCGTCTTCAAGCGGGCGCCCCGCTGGAAGGACAAGGTCGATGCCAACAGGAGGTTCCGGGAGGCACGCTACTCGATACCACCAGCGATCGCACCTGGCGTTCTTCCGTGTCCGATCCACTTTCAAGCATTACATGGTGAGTGGAGGTTACCAGTGTGGCCAACCCCAGCTTCTATCTCAAAGGAGTTGGGGCGTTCTTGGACGATTTGGGGTCGAGCAGTTCGTCTTCCTTCTAGTCTCCGACATTCGGTGCGCGACACACTCGGACATGCTGGTGTTGTTGGCCTTCCTGTGCAACCTCTTCAGTGGCGCAAGTTCGAAGTTCACCTTCGCGAGCAGTTGTACCGGGTCCGCGGGCAGTCCATTGTAGGCGACGACAAATTTCCCAACCGGGTTTGGGCAGGCCCGATGGACGAATTGGCGCCATATTTTTTAGCTTCGCTCAACTCTGACCCCTCGTGGCATCATCGTCCTGAGCTTGATTATGGGGATTGCGCAGCGTGGCAGATCGCACAGGCACGTCTTGGTGTCCCCAGGTTCTTGCAGGCTTCCATGAGCCGTTCTACGAGCGCGGCCCAACCAGCCCATGCCTTCCCCCTCGTCAAGAGCAAGTGCTTCCAATGTAATGGGGTGCGATCTTGTGTCAAAGACGGCCACAGCTGCTGGCGGCGAGTCGTAGATTCCAGTTGCGCGTTTGGCAGAGCTGCGTGGAAAGTTGTTGGCAGGGGCCTGCGGGGAGTTGCGCGTCGGTGCACGCTCTCCGATGAAGTTTGGGGCATGCGGGATGTACGGAAGGATTTGGACACGATGCTCAGTCGTTTGTCATCGCCACCTACTTCGTCGTGCCGCCGTTGTTCCTCGCCGTTGGATGGTACCCTCCAGTGCGTCGTCGCTGACGCGGACCAGGCGTTTGAAGCTTGCCGAGCGGACCGCGTGTTGGAGGATTGGGATTATATATCTTCGCTCTATGTTCAACGGTTTCGCACGTCTTCCATTCTTGTACGCAAGGGCACACGGGATGCATCCCGACCTAACACTTCTGGATCGTACGGCCGGGGTTGGTGGTGCTTGAGCGTACGAGATCTCAAGAAAGGTTTGGCGGCATACACGCTGGAGACTCTCGTGGTGGCGGCTGGCCAGATCTTCAGCCTGGATGGTATCTCAATTGGTGGGATCATGTCTGCGGCGTGCGTGTCCATCGTGCTCGGCGCCCAGGAAGCCAGGTGGAAAGACAATTCAGACGGACGCCGGAATGCAGGTTTTCATTTTGGTTCTGATCCTCTGGAGACGGTCATTGGCAAGCTGCGGTACGTTGACGACATTTTGGCGTGCTCCCGATGCGTATGCCGCCGCTGCTTGTTCGATTTCTTGCAGTGCTCTTATGATGTCAAGCTGAGTTTGGTTACTGATCTGGATCCCGCAGGGCCATGGTCTGGTGTATGGCTCGATCTTGGCATTCACGCTTCGGGGCAGGATCTCACCGTCATCCCAAAGAATGAAAACAGAGCGTGGTTGCAAGGGCGTGGACCTCGCGGCCGGCCCGCACTTCTGTCCTGGCCTGGTGTCCCTGTTGGGGGATTCGGGGTCCTCCGGGCCACGATCATGCAGAAAATCACGAGAAGCCGGGAGCTCCAGGTTCCTGGGGACGTGGCTGTTCTATGGGTTATGGAGATATTGTTTGAGTTGTTCCTCTTGTCTTACCCAGTGTCGCTTCTCCGTGCTCTTGTCCACAGTATTCCTCCTTGCCCTGTGGCTCGAGGTGTCCGGCTCGGTTTCCGCATCTTCCATTCGGCCATGGGGGCGACCGACCGGCAGGGGAGCGGGCGCCGGAACCACCACGATGACCGCCGCGATCATCGTTACCGGCAGGATCGCGGGAAGCAGTACGACGGGTACGACAATCGCCGGGTGGACGCCGGCGTGTCGCCACTTCGGGGGTATACCTCGAATTTTCCTCAGAAGCACTATGGATACTATTCTTGGGGTAGCCGCCGCGGCCGCGATGATTACCATGATCGTGGAGATTACGGCGGACGGTACTACAATCGCGGACCTTACGATGGATCGCCACCCCCTCGACATTCACGTTCAGAGGAGTCCAGCGACCAGTTGGAGGTCGAGCAGGCCAAGGCCTTGCTGTACGAGAAGGACCCAGCATACCGCGCAGCAGAAGATGCACGTCGCCAGCAGGTCGAAGAGGACAAGTGGCGCAAGCAGGGCGAGTTCTTCTTGAAGGCATTGGACACCAAGCTGGAGAAGATCATCGACAAGGCCGGTACGGGCTCGGGCAACGAGGCTAAAGGCGCGGACGGCGCCGCAGGCTCGGCCGGTGCTGCCGCCGACGGGACCGAGCTCACCGCTGTGCAGAAGATGTGGTTGGAGGCGGAACTTCAGCATAAGGTGAAGATGGCGGACAAGAAGGTGGCCACGGCGCAGAGCACTATTGTCGAGAAGATGGCCGAGCCTGCCTTCGCAAAGTTGGTCTCCGCATTCTATGGCAAGCACATGGCGGACGAATCGATCCCTCGCACCCGCGAGGCTCGTGTCAAGAAGCTTCTCGAGCATGTCAAATCCCAGTGAGTTTGTCATCGTACCGCTGATTTCCCAGGTGGGCTTCCAGGTATTCCTCTCCTCTGGTTGGTGGTGGCTTTCTTCATGGGAGTCGTGTACGCTAGCATGTACCCCGCGGGATGGGTTCAAATGCATCCACACGTACGGGCCCTCAGGAGCTATTTCGACGCGTGGCTGTACCCCCAGGCGTACACAGATGTTCACACCTTCGGTCTGGCAGCGGCTCGGGCAGCATCGTCTGTGATATCATCTTTCTTCACTGCCGAGGGCGCTCCGCTGGTTCTCCCACCGATCTTGTGGGGGCTGGCGAGACGCCGCCAGAGAGCGATTGCCATGTAGAACTCGCCCGGGGGCAGGTGCTTGTGAAGTGCATGGGGATTGCCCGAAACCGGGAGCCTGCATTGATTCCCACCTCTCTTCGGGAAGTTGCGGTTCGAGGCGCAACTCTTGCATGCTGATGCGGTAAGGCTCCGCGTAGCTTGGGGCAGACAGGGCGCGCGCGCAGCACGGAGAGTGTCACGTGTGAGCTATTTTGGGTGTGCCGGTCCATCCGCGTTTTCAAGTGCACACGGGGAGTGTCAACCAGTTTCGTCTTTGGGCAGGCGCGCACGCACGCGTGCGAGCAGTGTTGCATTTGTTCATGATTGTGTGCAGGAGCCGTGGCCAGGCTCAGGCCCAGCGGTGCTGAAGGCCCGATGTAGGGCCGCATGTCGACAGGTCTGGCCCGACTCCGCAAGAAAGGCGTCCTTCGATTATCGCCGGTTCTACCGAAAGGAGGAGGAGGAGGAGGCAGAGGAGGCAGAGGAGGAAGAGGAGGTGGATGGGAGAAAGGGCCAGGAGGACGAAGAGGATGCAGAGCAGGGGGCGGGAGGAGGGCCTCCGCTAGGGCGAGAGGGCGATGAGAACACAGGAAGAGGCCTGGGCATTCACAAGGCCTCTTCCTGTGTTCTCCAAATTAATTCGGGAGGAGGAGGAGGAGGAGGAGGAGGAGGAGGAGGAGGAGGGAGGCGCACGCCGCGGGACGCGTGCCCCGACAGAGGGAGGAGAGGGCGATTAGGAGTGCTTCCAAATTAATTCGGGAATCTCTCATGTGAGGTGCCTCCGTCGGGATAGGTTTTGCTATGTTCGGCCCTTGGGGGGCCTCGCCGGGCAGCCGGCACCGTCGAACAAACTAGCGCCTGGATGAACAGCTGGTCTTGGGGGATGGCTCGACACCTCTGGGGTTGACGCTGTAAAACAAACGCCGTGTCGGAAGACTTGGATTGTCATCCGCACCGATCCTGGCCGGGTCCTTGCGCGCCCAAGGATCGGCGCGTGTGCGATCGGCGCGTATGCCCTGCTGCCCAGGCCAAGGAGGCATGTAGATCCGATCCTGGGCCGACGATTGGGCTGGCCAGGATCGGTGAGGTCCACAACGGGCGTTTCCCGACGAGCCAAGGGCACGCAACAGGTGCGGCAAGAGGGCGGCATGGCCTGACACGAAGAGCCTGTTGCCCGAGGGTAGTCCAAGGTGGTCCCGTTGACGCTGATCTTCATGGTCCCCTGCCGGCCACGCTGGGGCAGCTATGGGCATGCTGGGGGCGGTGAGATCAGCCGCTCCTTGGGCAAGGTGGAGGAAGGGGTGGAGCGAGCAGGAAGATGATGACAAAGGGGTAGGGGTCAGTGGGAGAGGGGGAGGAGGAGGAGGAGGAGGAGGAGGAGGAGGAGGAGGAGGAGGAGGAGGAGGAGGAGGAGGAGGAGGAGGAGGAGCGAACGTCATCTGAGTGGCAGGTCCGTTCGATCATCTAGGCGCCGCGCGGCCCAGCGCCGCCCGAGAGGTCCACGGGGAGCCTCAGAGCGTGCCGAGCGGCGCAGGGCGTGTACGTCAGGATTTCTGGGAAGTCGCGTCAGCACTATCCCTGCAAAGCCACCATCTACTCCGCCCATAGTGCCGCCCCGCCCGCCCTGCCGACGAGGAACAAAACCTTCGGGCGTCGAATGGGCCAGGGCTCGGGCCGCTGCGCAGAGATGCGGGGCGCTGCCAGCCAACGCGAGGGGCACAGCGTAGCGCAGGGGCAAGCACACGCCCTGCGAAAGCCGCAAGGTTGGCTGGCATGTCCGCCCTCCTGCTCAGGCCCTCTCGAACTGTCGAGGTGTCACTGATAAACCGTGCCCTCGCCCATCAGGCATCGACTCTCTTCTATTGGGGTCGTTCGCTTTTCAGAGCGGTGCGTGGCGGATCCCAAACAAAATGAACCGACCCGGGCAAGGCAAGAAAGGTGTCCCTCGCGTAGCTCGTCTGCGCCATGTGTGCGCTACGGTATGATGTATTTGACGTTATGATTGCTCGCCGGTTAGTATGTCATATCGGCACGTCCCGTATTGGTTTGGCCACCAAGACGCCGAACAATTGTCGTTATTGCAGTGGGGCGCCGTGAACGGTGGTTGTGGTGGTAGCGTTACATGCAAGAAATGCCCCGCGACGACCAGTGCTCTACTCCCCGGCTGTCAGGCTCGACAGCATTTCCGAACAGGTGTACATCAGAACCGAATGATTAACGACGTTAGTAAAACGTACACAAAAGTTGGCAAACGTATGCTGACTAGTGCTTTCGAGCAGTGAGGACGCGTCGTGGTTCGCCCGACAGGGCACGGCAAGCGCGCGGAGGCGGCGCCGCCGAGGCGGCGAGGGCTGTGGGGAGACCGGTGGCCCTCCTCCCTTCTGCATCTCCCTCTCGCCACCTCCCGCTTCCATTGACGTTCCTCCACCTCCCTGCGGCCCTGCGCCCTGGCCCTCCCGTCGCTATTCCCTAAACGGTGCTTGCACTTTGGAGTTCGTACTTCTGTTCTAAGGGCCTGGGTCTGTGCGGCGGTCTGGCGGCCATGTAGTCGCCGTCGCCGCCCCGTCGCCGCCTCATCGCCGCCCATCGTCTGGGTCTGTGCGTTGGTCAGGCGGCTATATTAGCAGCCGTCGCCGCCAGGTCGCCGCCTCGTCGCCCCCTGTCATCTACGCCTGTTTGTCGGACTGAAGGCTATGTTGTCGCCGTCGCCGCCCCGTCGCCGCTCGTCGCCACCGTTACATTGCACCGCGTAGATCGCACAACATAGATCGCAACACATAGATGGCACACCATAGACTCCTGTCTCTGAAAAGAAGTCAAGATGTACCCCCCTTTCCCGGGGTTATCCCCCCAAGGGATGTGCAAATTACATAAGGTTCTGCCAGATCGGTCATGCTAAATATGAAATCGTGGCATCGAAACCAAACGGGTACCGACCCCCCCACATTCTCGTCAAATCATCCCATGTGCGCACAATTGCGTATTTTTCGCATTTTAGGCGTCTCTGGCCTTTCAGGCTCCCGACGCTCCAAGACAGCCCAAGATGCCCCAAGATCGCACGAACACGGCCTAAGAGGTCCCCAAGAGGGTGTCCAGAAAACACCAAAGGGACCCAAGACGACCAAAAAGGCCTCCAAGACGGCACGAACGGGCGCCAAGAACGCCCCAAGAACGCCGCCGGGGCCCAAGAGAGGAAATACGGACCGCAAACCCGAGCCTTCCGCCCCAAGAGGCCCCCAAAAGGCCTCAAGAGGAAACCCCCAAAACGGCCTCCAAGAGGCGTCCAAACTGCCTCCAAGATGCCTCCCACGAGATCCCAACGAACATCCAATAGGCTTCATACCCATAGCCCAGGCACGGTGGCGGGATGGGCCGAAGGCCATTCGATCCGCCGCCCCCTTCATCACAGGGGTGCCTGGCGTGCTGAATCCTCTCGGTTTTGGTTTTGGTTCTTTTTCCAAAAGGACTCCCCCTGGCGCTTCGGCCCGTCCCGCCGGCCCTGCGGAAAGCCTGCAACCGACCTCAACGTCCACAAAAAATCCTCCAAGACGCCTAAAGATGGCCTCCAAGATGGTCACGTTGGCCCAAGATGGCCTCCAAGATGGCCCAAGATGTGCTCCAAGTTCGCCCAAGATGGTCCAAGACGGCCTCCAAGACGGCCCAAGAGAGTCCAAAATACCTCCAAGTTCGCCCAAGAAGCCTCCAAGACGGCCCAACACGACCCAAGAGGCCTCCAAGAGGTCCTCCAGGAGGGCTCGAAGAGACCAGAACCATTGGTTTTCCCAAGTCTTTGAAGGATTTTGGCATTTGCCTCTTCTCGGTACTCCGACGGCTCAAGACGGCCCAAGAGGCCCCCAAGATCGCCCACGAGGCCTCCAAGATGGCCCCATGACGGCCCAAGAGGCCCCCACGAAGGCCCCAAGAGGGCCCCAAGACGGCTCAAGAGGCCTCCAAGACGCCCAAGATGGCCTCTAAGATGGCCCTGAGCACTCCAAGGAGGCCCCAAGTCGGCCCAGAGAGGCCCCCCAAACTGCTTCCGACGGCGTCAGACGGGCCAGGAGCCCACCAAGATGGCCGAAGTTGGCTCTAGGCTAGCCCAAGACGACCCAAGAGGCCTCCAAGAGGGCCCCCAGGAGGGCTCGAAGAAGCCAAAATCATTGATTCCCTTTGAGTTTTTGCAGGATTGCGACATTTGCTTGTTTCAGCCTTCCGACGGCCCGAGACGGCCCAAGAGCCCCCAAAGATCGCCCAAGAGGTCTCCAGTATGGCCCCAGAACGGCCCAAGAGGCCCCCAAGACGGCCCCAAGAGGCCCCCAAGACGGGCCCAAGAGGCCTCCAAGACGCTCAAGATGGCCTCAAAGACGGCCCTGGAGCACCCCAAGAAAGGCCCAAGTCGGCCCAGCCTCGCCCACCGTGTTCCCCGAACGCTTTCCAAACCGATTCGGGGAACACATGGTTCGATAGCTTGGCAGGCCTCTGGCCACAACGTTCGGCCACATGGCGTTTCCAAAAAGGCAGGGGGCGGCGGTGATTCGCCGTGAGCGTCTTCGATATTGCACCAAGCGGATAGCACTGCAGATGCTACTTACTCCACATAGTGCTAGAACTATACTCTTAGGGTCCACGCTGGCTAACCTGATGACTCTTCTTCTCCTGTTGGGCCAAGGTGACGCCAACCGCCCGCTTATCGCGCACCTCCTCCAGCTCCCCCACCCTTCTCGCCCGTCTGCATGGAACCCAAAAGGACAAGAGATCATCTGCCGCGTAGCCCCTCACGCGACGCTGCTCGATATTCGGCCGAGCCCCCGTCCGACTGGTGCAGGGCTCGCCCGTGCCTGCCGACCGACTGGTCAGGTTCACGTTCGCGTTCGCGTCTCGCGGCTGGGGATCTTTGGGCAGTTCACTGCAGCGCCCCCGGCGCACTAAGGGCAAAACAAGCAAGCTCGCTTCGTCAGAGAGCCGAAGCGGGGGTCATCGATCCATAGATGCCCGCAGTGAGCACGGGTGCTGACCAGAACTTGCATGTTACGTCTGAACGCCTTGGATTCTGCACTCCATTGACTGACTGAGTCCCGACAAATCGTTGAAGAAGGTGGGCGTTGGCCCTCGACACAGAACGGGAGAGTGAGAGCCACGCATCACTAGAACTGAGCAAGTCAACCCGTGGCATCCGCCATCCGTTATGACCCTGTAAGCAAACAAATGAATCGGGCACGACCCCAGTTAGGGGAAGCCTATTGCATGGGCGCATCGCTGGGCGCATCGCTCGGCGTTGCTTGGCCTGGATTGGAATTGCTTGGCATTGCTTGGCCTTGCTTGGCATTGCTTTGCATGGGTTGGCATTGCTTGGCATTGCTTGGCATTGCCTGGCATTGCTTTGCATGGGTTGGCAATGCTTATCATTGCTTTGCATGGGTTGGCATTGTTTGGAATTGCTTCGCATTGCTTAACATTGCTTGGGGCAAGCGGTGGCGGTGAAACCATCATCATGAAAATCATCACCCACATCATCATCACCAACATCATCACCACCACCATCATCATCATCATCATCAGCATCATCATCATCATAGTCACCATCAACATGATCATCATCTTTATCATCACCATCATCATCACCAGCATCACCACCACCACCATCATCATAGTCACCATCAACATGACCATCATCTGCAGCATCACCATCTTCCCAATCGACAGCATCATTGTCTTAACCATCATCAAAGCCATCATCACCATCATCATCATCATCACCATCACCACCACGATCTCACAATCGATCTCACTATCAATCTCACAAGCAATCTCACAAACAATCTCACTAGAAATCACATAAACGATCTCGCGATCGATCTCACTATCAATCGATGGTGAGATCGATCGAAAAATCGGTAATGAGATCGATGGTGAGACCGATAGATAAGAAGATCGACCAAGAACCCGGGAACCCTGGAACCTCGCCGCCCTGCAAAATCGGCCTGAAACCCGGAACCTGGAACCCGGGAATCCGGAATCGGGAACCCGGGAACCCAACCTGCCACCAAAATCGGCCGGGAACTTCGCCAAATCCTTTAACTTCCGCTAGGACCCCTTCAGTGCAAGCACTGATTGGGGAATTATCAAACGCGACATACTTACATTTGGACAACTGCACACGCGTTTTTGAACCCTGCGAAACGGATATTTCGTGAATGCGCCGTATGTTTTCGCGGATTCCAATGAACACCAACGTTGGCAATTGTTGGCGAATGCGCCGTAACGCATCCTGAGAAAGATGACCAGGCGCAACGCCGCCGAAGGGATGACAGGGTCGACCCGCGAAGCATGCCGTTGTGCTTCAGGCAGTAGTGCGGTATTGAGTTCTTTGCTCACGACCACGTCTTATACCTGCAGCTGCTCCCGCTGTGATGCATAGCGCTGGCCCAATGCCATCATGAAGTGGCAAGCTTCGCCAGCCCATACTTGCAGCTTGGCTGGCTCAAAGCCCGCGGTGCTCAAGTCCATGATGCAATCCGACGCCTCCAACTTGTCAATGCAAAGAGGTAAGCTCAGGGTTTCAATAATATGGTATTAGGCATGGTCGTCCCGACCGAAGCGGAGGATCTCCAACACCGTTCCCTTTGGAAGGCCATGGCACAGCAAACCTCAACATATGTCTCTGGAAACATTTCTTGCATGCCAGCGAAGAAAATACCCCGAACGTCCGTCACCTGCACCTCCACCAGCTACACGTCCCGAACATCATGCTCTGCACGATACTCCTTAAACTGGCGACTGCGGCTACGTACCAAATCCCCAGGCTGCACCTGAGTGTCCAATCCCCGGTTCGGCCGAAAAGGACGACCCTGCTGGCTCAGCTGCTTCTGCTGCTCCCGCCATCGTGTCGCAGCTGCTGTGGCGACCGACGTCGCGGGACACTGCCGCCCCCCGTGGCCCGCCGAGGCCTCCGACGCCGACGATGAGAGGAGGAGGAGGAGGAGGAGGAGGAGGAGGAGGAGGAGGAGGAGGAGGAGGAGGAGGAGGAGGAGGAGGAGGAGGGGGGGGAGGAGTTGGTTGGGGACTGAACCGACTGCGACCACTGGCGCCGAACCACCTCTGCTGCCTCGATGAGCGGAATTTCGGCAGCTGCGTCGCGGCGCAGCACTCCCTCTCAAGGCCGTGATGCAGTGATTGGCGCTAGGCCAGCTCACACCATATAGGAGGAGGGAGGATGCAGTGGAGAATGGCTCCAGGATGCTGCGCTGCGGGAAACTTGCCACAACTTGAAAGCAAGGCCCCCTTTCAGGTGGTCGGTTCGGTCAACGTGGTTTTTGGCCGCCAGACAGAAAGGCGTATCCGTCGTCCGCCCTCCCTGCCCCTCCTGACCCTCCTGTTTCTCCTGAGCCTCCTGCTCCGACTCCCTCGTCGATCCCTCGTTTCCCTTTTCCTCCTCCCCTTCTGCCGGTAAGCGGCGCGGAATGCAAACTTCGACGTGCAAAAATTGCACGATGCTCTCACCATCAGCCGCCAGTCACGCGCCCTCGAACGACCCACGTCTCTGTCGCGGTGGGCGTTATGCCAGGGGATATGGGTCCATGTCCCCTTCTGCTCCTGCTCCGAGCAGCAGCTGCTACTGCTCCTTACCCTCACACCCCCTGCCTCGGAGTTTATGCCGATGCACTGGCACTGCGAGCTGCCGTAGAGCTGAACCTTCGCGGCCTGCGGGGATGGACGGGAGGCCAGAAGCGAGATGAGGAGGGATAGAGGGGGAGGGGGTGGGCGTGTGGGAGAGGGGGACGACCATCAATAAAATGAGGTGCCACACCCTCCGAGTTCCCAAGAATGCACGTGTTCACTCGCCGACGTCCCATTCCTCGACCCGTCTCTTTACCCCACACTGTTGGCTATCAGGGTGCTCTGCGGAGGTGCTGATTCCTTTTTCGTCCACTGGGTTGGATGGCCGCAGGGTCTCCACGCCCCCCCCCCCTCCTCATCCCTAGCTGTTTTGTTGGCAGTCCTGGGGGCCGGCGAGGGCCCCCCCAGAGGTCGAAAACTGAGATGGCCCTCCGTCTTGCCCCCTTTCAGTCTCAGCTGCCCCGATACGCAACACGTAACACGCAGCGTGCGGAAGCGGAGCTCGACGCGGAAACTGAAGACGCACGTCTGGCGCGATGCGTTCGGACCGCAGCTTGGACCAACACGCGCCGAACCAAAACGCGGCGTGCAGCGTGTTCGAATGGACGCTCTGAAAGCGGCACGTGCAGCATTCCAGAGAGGGCGTATCAGCGCAGCTGAGCTTTCAGTGCGTTGCATGTCTGCATGGGCCCCGCGACCCTCCCGGCCGTGTCCGCGCGCCGTCCTCGGTCGGAGATGCGCGAGGAAAAACAGCAAAGACAACGACGATGCATCGGCATGGCCGGCAGCCTCCAAAACGCGATACGTTCGCGGGTGGCCTGCGCCACGGCTCTCGTTACAGCCGGACCAAAAACAGAAACACATCCTCAGAGCATGAAACCCCTCACTTAGATGCACAAGAACACACGATAAACACGAAAAACACCAGGGTGCCTTCCCCGAACCGACCTCGAACTTACTGGCGAAACCAAAGGGTACCAATACCGCTATCCCGGCACCTCTCCCAGGATGCGTTCTGACCAGAATTTCGTGGCGAATCCAGCGGTGGCGACGAGGGCCTCCGAGGAGGCCCCCAAAGGCGAAAACGAGGGAAGGGTAGCGGTATGGGTACCTCTTCCTCCTCGATGCTCTACTTCGGTCTGGCCGTAAGCGATTGAACATCCAGCACGGTGTGCTCTATTGTGAACACTGTGGTGCCCATGCAAGTGTGAATGTTCAGAGTCTGGCGAAGTCGTGTAAGACTGACCGCCCGCTGTTAAGGCCCAGTAAAGCGACCGGCGTGCTGACCCCCCCCCCTTCGCGACAGGAGGTGCGTCGCGCATTCGTCGCCCGTGCGTCGGCCGCCGAAAAGGCCAGCCGCCCTCTCGAACGCGCACGTCGCCCTCGCAAGGGGGCACTTTGGTGAGTGCGTCGCCAGCGCGGCGGACGCCCACGGGGCGGATCGCGCGCGCGTCGCCCTCTCCACGGCCGCTTAAAAAGGCTGATCGCCTTCGGGAAAAAGAAAGTCGCCCACGCTGCGGCCCTCTTGGCGAGAAGAAGGCGGCCGCTGGGCTACCTCGGCAAATCTGCAAATCCCACTAACATTACACATTCAGCGATGCTGCTGAACGCAGCCCGGCGATAGGCCAGCAGGTCCCCCCAGCCGCCGCCACAGCCGCCGCAACCGCCGCCAGCGCCAAAACTACCGCCGCCACGATCACCACAAACGGATGCGACCGCAACCACATCCACCGCGACGATTACGACCAACACCATTTACCGCCATCATCACCACCACGACCACCACGCTTCTCGCGACCACCACAACGACCGACACCAGCACGATCACCGACGTGACCACCACCAGCCCGCCCACCACCAGCGGCACGACCGCCGCCAACGCGACCAAGGCGACGAACGCGACCACGACCATGATCACCAACATGACCATTACAGAAGCACCCGCCCACTCCGTCCCTCCCCCCGCCCCCTACACCTGTCGGGCCGCCCTTGCCGCCGCGCCCGCCTCGCGCCCCTGCCCCTCCCCCCTCCTTTTCTCCTCGTGATCTTCCTCCTCCACCGCCAGCGGCGGGGCCGTTCGCGGAAGGCGGGGGCGCCGCTCGCGGTGACGCGCCGCGGCCGTGGAAGGGGGGCCGAAGGAGAAAAGAGAATGAAGAGGGGCACGGGGTGGCAAGGGAAAAAAAACAAAGACGAGAGAGGAGGGGGGAGGCACTGACAGAGGGAGGCTGGTAGAAAGGAGGAAAAGAAGGGGAGGAGAGAGGGGGGCGAGGCAGGAGAGAGGACGAAGGAGGAGGAGGAATGACAAAAGAGGAGGGACGACGAGGAAGGAAAAGGGAAATCACAGGGGCAAGCACCGCCCTTCCTGGCGCAATGGATGGCGCAGCCGCCGCCACTTGTGAACAGCGCAAGCACGGCGGGCCGACGGCCGTTGCGCATCGCTGCTCGGAGAAATGTCAGGGGCGGGCAAAGTCGCGACTGCGTCGCGCATGCGTCGCGCGTGCGTCGCGCGTGCGTCGCGCGTGCGTCGCGCGTGCGTCGCGCGTGCGTCGCGCGTGCGTCGCGCGCGTGGCGCGTGCGTCGCGCGTGCGTCGCGCGGGTCGATCGTGCGTCGCGCGCCGGCAGGGGTGCGTCGCGCGCGGGTCGGGGTGCGTCGCGCGCGCGTCGCGCGCGCGTCGCGCGTGCGTCGCGCGGGCGTCGCGCGGGTCGTTCGCGCGTCGCGCGCAGGTCGCGCGCGAATCGCTCGAAGGGCGCCGTGGACTCCTGACGGCATGTGAACTGCACGGCCCGCTGGCGAAACAATCAAGGGATGCGCGCGGCAATCGTAGAAATAGCGAGACACGCACGTGAGAACTACGAACGCGAGGAGACCAAGAGACGACATGGAGATGCAGCGCGCACGGACTAATCCATTTCAAGCGCACGCCCCGTCAGATGTTGAACATCGGTCCGTCGCTGCAGCAATTTGGCGACGTCTCGCCCGCCGATGCATTGGGGGGGAAAAGAAGATGGAAGTGAGGCGAGGGAAGGGCGGGCGGAAATGGGAACGGCCGGGCGAGGAGGGGGCGCGCGGGGGCGGCGCAGCGGCGGCGGGAGCGATGGAAGGCGATCGAAATGGGGGCGGCGGGAGCGAGGAGGGCGAGAAGAAGTTCCAGGAGGGTGGAAGGACAACGGGGGGCGAGTAGGGAGGCGGACAGGACGGCAGCCTGACATAAAAAAACTGAATACAAATTTCGTAAACGGGACAAAACGCGCAGCGCGTTGGACGAGGGGAAGAGGAAGGAAGAGGGGGGGGCAGGAGGATTGGAGCGAAACGACATGGGGGTGCGGGGCGCGATGCGACGGGGCGAAGTGGCGCCGCGTCGCGCGACGCGACGTCACCCCCGCCGGGGCGCGACACGCACAGCCCCCAATCAACGCGAGGCGTATTCGTCCTCAGCAACGGTTGGCGCCCCCGACAATGAGCACCAGCAAATCCTCTTGCGCCGAATTGGGAACAGAACGCGTTGGTGGACCGTCGAACTAGGAGTGCGCCGCGACCGCCAAAATGGCTGCTGGTGCACGGGCGTCGGAAACCTATATATCGCCAGAGCAATTCCGAAGTCGCGCCATATGTCGCCCACGCACTCTGGGAGGCCGGGATTCGGGACAGAGACGCAAACCAGGGCCGGCGCACGGGCGACGCTCGGGCGACGCACTGAGCGAAAACTTGAAGGGGGGGGGTGGTCGCTTCACTGGGCCTTAACACCGCCCGCCCTCGAAAGCAGGGAAGGAGCCCCTCTTCAGGCCGGCAAGGGGGCTGCCCCCCAACAGGGGTGGTGCGTTTCCGCGGGCGTGGAACTGGGACCCGCGCCCAGGCCTGACCGGGCCCCCACGGGCTAGCAGATCAGGCCGACCGTGCGCGATGCAGCGCGCGCGGGGCGCGGCGCGGGGGTTGGATGCTCGTTCTGGGGACCTTCCCGGAGCCACTCGCTCCACTCGTGCGTCGAAGCTGCGTCGAACATCAGTCGAGTTGGGTCGACCCTGAGTCGAACCTGAGTCGAACCTGAGTCGAACCTGAGTCGAACTTGAGTCGAACCTGAGGCGAACTGGGGTCGAACTGGGGTCGAACTGATCCATTAGGTGGGCTCCAGGAAGGTCCCCGAAACAAGCATCGAGCGGGGGGGGGGGGCGGCAGCGCGGGGAGCGGCGCCCTCGTGGAGTTCGGCGGCGCCGGGGCCTGGCCGCGCCGGCCGCGCCCCCCGCGCCCCAGCGGCGCGCCCCCCTCGCACGGGCCCCCCTCTCGCACGGGTGGCCGCGCCGCCGCGCCGTGCCGGTGAGATTTTTCTTTAGGCTAGAAGATACGAGCCGAGATCCCCTCGCTTGGGGGAATACTGTAAGGGTTATAGTGCGGGATGACGATTCATAAAAAGTGGGGGGGGAACGATTAACAAAAATTATCCCGGCAAAGCAACCTAACAGCGATGTGTAGAAGCATATCTGAAAGCATTCCCCTTAAGATTCAGACGAAAATCCAGTTGTCGAATTCTGCTGTTCTCGCAGTCGTAGTCGCATTCGCGATGACAGTCGCAGCGGCAACGGCAGTCGCAGTCACAGCCTCAGCCTCAGCCTGCCTCCTCCTCCTCCTCCTCCTCTTTCTCCTGCTCCTCCTCCTCCTCCTCCTCCTCCTTCCTCCTGCTCGTCCTCGTTCTCGTTCTCCTCGTCTTGCTCGTCCTCCTCCTCCTGGTGCTCTCTCCTCCTCCTCCTCCTCCTCCTCCTCCTCCTCCTCCTGGTGGTCCTCGTTCTCCTCCTCCTGGTGCTCTCCCCCCCCCTCCTCCTCCTCGTCCTCCTCCTCCTCCTCCTCCTCGTCCTCCTCCTCCTCTTCCTCCTCCTCCTCCTCCTCCTCCTCCTCCTCCTCCTGGTAGTCCTCCCCCTCCCCTCCTCCTCCTCCTCCTCCTCCTCCTCCTCCTGGTCGTCCTCGTTCTCGTCCTCCTCGTCTTGCTCGTCCTCCTCCTCCTGGTGTTCTCCTCCTCCTCCTCCTCCTCCTCCTCCTCCTCCTCCTCCTCCTCCTGGTGGTCCTCGTTCTCCTCCTCCTGGTACTCTCCCCCCCTCCTCCTCCTCCTCCTCGTCCTCGTCCTCCCTCCTCCTCTTCCTCCTCCTCCTCCTCCTCCTCCTCCTCCTCCTGGTACTCCTCCCCCTCCCCTCCTCCTCCTCCTCCTCTTCCTGGTCGTCCTCCTCCTCCTGGTCGTCCTCCTCCTCCTGCTCGTCCTCCTCCTCCTCCTGCTCGTCCTTCTTCTCCTGCTCCTCCTGCTCCTCGTCCTGCTCCTGCTCGTCCTCCTCCTGGTCTTGCTCGTCCTCCTCCTCGAAATGTGGCCCAGGAATGGGAGTTCTGGGAAGTCGAAGAGCACGAAGTTGCCTACAGTTGGCTACGGGCATTCAAAATGTGGCCCGGGAATGGAGTTCTGGGAACTCGAAGAGCACGAAGTGGCCTACAGTTGGCTCCGGGCATCAAAATGTGGCCCGGGAATGGAGTTCTGGGAACTCGAAGAGCACGAAGTGGCCTACAGTTGGCTCCGGGCATTCAAAATGTGGCCCGGGAATGGAGTTCTGGGAAATAGAAGAGCACGAAGTGGCCTACAGTTGGCTCCGGGCATCCAAAATGTGGCCCGGGAATGGAGTTCTGGGAACTCGAAGAGCACGAAGTGTGTGACTGTTGCATACGGCCCTCCAGAATGTGGCCCGGGAATGGCGTTCTGGGATGTCGAAGAGCACGAAGTGTGTGACTGTTGCATCCGGTTATTCTAAATGTGGCCCGGGAATGGCGTTCTGGGATCTCGAAGAGCACGAAGTGTGTGACTGTTGCATCCGGGTATTCAGAATGTGGCCTGGGAATGGAGTTCTGGGAAGTCGAAGAGCACGAAGTGTGTGACTGTTGGTGAAAAACGAGCCCGGCACCCTGCCGCCCGGCAACTCCCCAACACCTGCCCGGACCCCCCTGTGGAGTGATCTGTGAGCTCTTTTGAGTCAACTAGAAACCTATCAGTCTTCGCTGTTAGGTAAATAGTTTCCTGCCATTTCTGCACAATTGTCGGACTGGAGGAGAACGATTTTAAAACATAGTTTTCCAGCCCGCGGCCGGTTTTTCTAATCGTCATCCCGGGCGCCGCCGCGTGAACACGACCCCCGGTCATTTTTCAATCGTCATCCTCCAATAATGTACGCCTGTGAACGAGCAAGCATCGCCATGTAATGGACTCGACGATCAACCCACTCGTTCCCCCCAGACTTCGCCATCGCTCGGGCGCCCAGTCCTCGTGCGTTTTTCGGTTTCACGCGCATGCTTTTCCACAATATAATCCCAAAGGGCTCCTCGATAGTTCTTGCCGACGAACAAACACACGTAATGCTCCTCGATGTTGCCGGAGAGAAAAGACACACACACACTTACACGTCCGAGCGTTGCCAGGAGCAGGGAAGAACGCTACGGCCAGACCTGGGACAGAAGAACATCCTTCAATCGGCTACACACAAGAATGACCCTGGGCAAGAGTGATCTTAGATGTCCGACTTTCGAGGGGGGGTGCGAAGGACCCAAAGCCAAGCACGCGAGCCGCTGCTGTCCCCGTGGGCCCGCACCAAAGGTCACTCCGGCGAAGGGTCACTCTCACGCGTAGTCGTATAACCTCCTTCAAGAACATGTCTCCACTGCCAACGCACCCCCAGTCATAAGATCACCGACGGTACCACAATCCAGAACACACGCAGAACATCAGGATACCCTCCCCGAAGCGACCTCGGTCTCATACCGCGGCCCCACCGTACTTGGCGGCGGGCACAGGGCTCCTCAGAGGTAGGCTGCTTCTAACAAGCCTTCCTCCTCCCCGTGTCCCCCTCTGCGCGTGGCCGAACTGCCCTGGCCCTTTAACTTCCACACCTTCCGACCGTCAGGTGGCTGACGTCGTGATCTTCTCGGAGGGGGCCACACAGCTGCGCAAACATACACTTTCGGAGCTCCGCGCGGATTTCTTGGATCTGCGCTGGGGCCCCCTCGCCAGGGGGCCTCAGCGCAGATCGGAGAACTCCGCGCGGACCGTCAAATCCCCCCGCGGACCGTCGAAAATTTACGCTTGTGCCATGTTTACATCTTCGGCAGAGGGAAGGAACCCACGCACATACACCGATCCTGGCCAAGGCCACCCTCATCGGAGCACCCGTGCGCCGCGCCCTCATGAAAGAATCACGACGCGCTTCTTGTTTTTTCCCCTGCCATTTACGGGCCTTTGGGGGCCTTCGCCGGGTCCAGAGACTATGCAAAAAACATCCGCCTCGAAACAAACAAGACGAAACAATTTTGACCCGTTCTCGGCTTCCGGGGGCCCTCGCCGGGCCCCTGGAATCACAAAAAAACCCAGACTGGTCCCTGGAGAGTGGTCCAGAGTGCGGGGACCCCGCATCTCGAAAAAGAACACATCGGAGGCCTGGGCTGTTTCCCCAGGAGAAAATATGTGCACATGCACCGAGCCTGGCCAGGCCCATCCTAGGCCCAAGATCGGTGTATATGTGCCCTCCTTGCTCGGCCAGGGAGGCAGGTACACCGACCCCGGGTCCAAGATGCGCCTGGCTGGGATCGGTGTATGTGCATAGCTCTCTCGCCCGACCGCCCTGAGGGGCAACGTCAGGGGCAGACCAGCTCGAGGGGAGAAAGGTGAAGCTACCGGGCCCCTATCGGCGATAAATGTGCGATTTGGGGTCGATGCGTCCCCCCCTGTGCCAGTCCCCCGCTCCTCGTCCCTGCGCCCGGCCACCGACGACAACGACGACGCCAATGGTGGCGCCGGCGATCGACGACGACCGGCGTCGATGACGATGACGATCGCTTATCGACGCCGCCGCCGACGACGCTGCTGGCGATCGGCGACCCGCGGCGACGGCGGCCGTGGCGGCGACAGTGGAGACTGCCGCTCGGCTTTTCAACGATAGGGCTCTGAGACACGAGAGCCTAAGGCGTGGAAACCAAGGTAGGTAAGCCTGAGTGTGAGTGAGTCTCAATGTGAGTTAGTCTTGGTGTAAGTACGAATGTGAGTGTGCGACTGTGTGAGTCAGTCTGGGTGTGCGAGTCTGAGCATGAGTGTGAGTGGGTCAGTCTAAGTTATGAGTGAGTCTGAATCTGAATATTTGTGACTCTGAAAATGGGCGGGTCTGAGTGTGATGAGTAAGCTTCAGTGGGGAAGAGGTACAGATGAGAAAGTCTGATTGAAAATGAATGCGTCTGCGTGAGAAAGAGGCGGAGGAGGAGCAGGAAGTGAGTGAAAGAGCGAGGAACACACAAGTCCACAAAGAAAAGTCTGGGGGGCCAACCGCCTGAGTCATCCCCTCAATCAGGGCGTGAATCCTTGATTGTCCCTACCCCCGGCGGTTCCCTCTTGGGGTGCCCAAGTGCCAAGCCTGCTATGTCGGGTGAATCAGTGGGCCACCGAAAGCGGAAAGAACGAGGGACAGAAGCAGATAACCGGCCTGAAATATCCCAACAATCTGTGCGTGAACGGGCCCGTGAAATACCGCGCTGGCGCCCCCCCTTAGGGAGCCCAAGTGGCACGTCTGCTATCATCACGGCGAGCAGTGGACCACCAAAGAAGAACAGGCTGGGGCCAGAAACAAGCAACCCGCCCGAGACATCACCAAAATCTGTGCGTGAATGGGCCCGTGAAATAACTCTCCTGGCGCCCCCTTGGGGTGCCCAGTCAAAAATACGATTCAGAAAGTTATCAATGAAGAAAGCTGGGCAAGCCTTCCAAAAGTTTCTAAAGGAAACGCTTGGCAAACTTTTGGAGCCAGGAGCGTACATTATGAATTTCTAGTTCCGCTCATTACGACAATAACGTTAACTGTTGAAATCGTAGTGGGAACTCTTCTTGTAGTAGTCAATACATTTACTACTGCATGTTTTCCGTACAATCAATCATTCCCGTACGGTTTCTGTAATGTAATCGCCAAACTAATCGGGATGTTCAAATTCATTTTGCTTAACCTTCCCGGAATTATGTTTTAATGCGTCAAATGCGCTAGATACGCCTGGTTCAGAATCTAGGATTCAATGATACGCCTGGTTTGCGAACTGACAGAACTATGATTCAATAGCAAGAACCAGACAACTTATTAAACTGATGAAATAATCGGGCTCGGGCTCGGGCTCAGGCTCGGGCCCAGGGCCCGGGTTCGGGCTCAGGCTCGGGCTCCCGG